TGAGGTCACTGATGTCAGAATTGACGGCATTGTGTCGGAATTAACGGCATTGATGTCGGAATTGACAGCATTTTGTCAGAATTGACGGCATTGATGTTGGAATTGTTGGCATTGATGGCGACATTGTCGGCATAGCCAGAAATGTTCGCAGCAATCGCCATAGGCATTTACTAGGCAGTGTTATTAAACATCGCCTAACTTTGGCAGTGGTGTACACATTTTTGGGAGGGTGAAACACCCATCGTCCTCAAAGAAATAATAGGAGATGTGATAGTTTTTCAGTATGTTTCCATAGAACTAATTATGGATTAAACTCGCCAATAAATAGATTGTGCTCAGAAACCAATATTTATGTTGGTAACTGTGATATGTTTAACTGTAGTCTGACTGTTCCTAAACAATTGCTTCGCAGAACACTAGAATAAGACTGTTTGTTTGTTTATAATATTCTCGATAATATTTATTTATACTTAATTGTTGAATTTGTAGAAAATGGATTTCCATTAATAAAATATTTATAAAAATCTTGATTATAATATCCGATTTTCAAGAGAATCTAGGTATTCATGTTAGTTTCAAGTTCTTTTTTTTTTTTTCTTTTTTGTTCCTTTGAAAAAAAAAGAAAATAGAAACCACATGGTCTAAATTTTCCTACCGATTTTTCTGGCACCGAGGCCTAACAACATATTTAAATTACAATTAGAAAATGGGTTAAGTCGTTACTTTTCCATACAATATTTATAACAGTAGTCTCCCTGTCTTCTTTTGTATTCTCTTAGAGCAGGTTAGTCTTTGGTCTTTTAGGGCACGGGTTAATTTGGGCAGCCTCTCATTTTGGATATAAGTTGGAAGTCGATTGAATGTTTGGATGCTTCTGTACACTGTATTTAGTTTTTCTCTTAAAATATCTTGAGGAGAACACATGCAAAATGAGTTGTAAAAATGCATTTTAACCACATTGTCAGTGACTTTTCTCTTCTTTTCATTCAAAACCCTTCCAAAGTATACTTGGAGCAAAGTTTACCTTGAAGTATGCCTTCAATTGAAAAAAGGCCTAAATTGAAGCTTATAGTCATACAATACCGAGTACAATACAGACCCTTTTGTAGGCGTATTTTTAGTTCAAAATTGCATTAGAAACCGCAAAATGGTCAAAATTTGTCATTGAAGAGCTTGTAACTTTTTTTCTTGAAATATAAAGAGAAAACTTCCAAAATGCGAGTGAAACAATTGCATCGCATTTTAATCTGCAGTTCCTACTCCTTCCCATTCAAAATCCATCCAAATTGAACCTAATAATAGTCGTAGTATTTTATTTTAAAATTGCATTGTAAAATAGTCTAAAAGAAAACAAATTCAAAAAGAATTATGAAACCCAGGAAGATTATTGAAAACGATCTTTACAACTCAAATGCTACTGCCCATGCTTTTATTATATCTTATTTTTATTTGTCCCAAAAGTGCCTCCTTCTGGCTTCTTCTCTGGGAACATCAAAAGAGAATGTCCGAAATCGTCTTAAAAACCCCAAAATGATCTAAATTTGTCCTAAAAGTTCTTCTTTTTGGCTTTTTCTCCAATTTTTAGAAATACTGCGTAAACCTTTGTAATCTACCTGCACTGCAATCCCTAAATTCTGCAATCTTGTTCTTCTCCTAGTGCCAGTGGATACCCTCCTCTTGATAATGTCTCATATTTGATAAATTAAATCACATTGGAATCCTTTTAAAGATTTAATAGGTATAAAGGTATAACAAGTATGTACATAGAACCAAACTTTTATTGACCTAAAAATAAAAATCTATACCTACTTACAAGGGAGCCCAAAATAAATACACAACCTGTCACTAACTCAACAGTAATTTCAAATGTCCATAATTAATTGTTGAGCAGTGGCGTGTTTACCATGGAAGCTAGGGAAGCACAGCTTCCCCTAGAGGATTTCTTAAAAAGAACCCCATTGTTGAAAATTAAATCAGAAATTTTCCGAATTTTGTCCATAAATCAGATTAATTCGAGTTTGTCCTAGTACATATTTATACTGAACCACTGCGCGCGGCCCAATGCGATGGCGCGACGCGACGACGAGAGCCGACGATTTCGTTCGGCGTTCCGACTCCCTTGGAAGCGGTAAATACTCAGCGTATCGCGGCTATATGAATTTTATCCAGATTCAATTTTAGGAAGGCGTGTCTAGGGGAAATTTTTAACCGTGCAAAATAATAGGGAAGAGTACGCTGTTTTCGGACAGATTATTGTTTCAATTATGGATGCTGTTGCAGGTACAAGTTCGAGTAAGAGTGAAAATGGACTCTTATGTGTATGTATTGTGTGTCAGATAGTGTTGAAAGGATTTTCCACTTATATTTTTGAAGAAAAAAAACAAATTATTTCCAAGGGTAGGCCAACTCCTGCCATTCCAAATTTAATTAAAAAAACTAAACTTTATGTTAGACATTTTCAGCAAGAAATATATAAAACTTGTGAATGGCTGACTGGTTGTGAAAATAAGTCTCTCCTGTTTTGCTGGCCATGTCTCTTGTTTTCTATCGAAAAAAATTTGTGGAATAAAAATGGATTTTCAGATTTAAATAATTTACATAAGTTGATTAAAAGACACGGATCTAGTAAGTCGCATTTGCAAGCAATAATTAAAGAAAAAATTTTTGGAAAAGTAAGAATAGAACACGCGCTAGACCAAAATCTAAGAATTGCGACTGAAAAACATAACCAGGAAGTAGCGAAAAATCGCCAAATAATTAAAAGGTTGATAGATGTCGTATGTTTTCTTGGCGAACATGAACTTGCTTTTCGGGGACACGCTGAAACTGAAACTTCTTCTAATAAGGGAAATTACGTAGATCTACTACATTTGCTTGCAAAGTATGACGAAACATTAAAATTTCATTTAGACAATTCTACAAGATTTAAGGGAACTTCTAATTTGATACAAAATGACCTAATTTTGTGTGTAGAAGAAGTAATATTGAAAAAAATTAAATCTGAAATAGAAGACACCAATTTTATTGCTATCATCCTTGACGAAACTACAGACGTCGCAAATATTAGTCAGTTATCAAAAGTCGTTCGCTATGTAACAAAAAATGGTGAAATCAAAGAACGTTTTCTAGGATTTGTAAACGTTTCTACGCAAAGAACAGCCCTTGCCCTGCACAATCTCGTTCGAACAATAATTGATGATGATCTCAACTGTGGCTCGAAGTTAATAGCTCAAAGTTATGATGGAGCCGCAGTTATGTCAGGTGAATTAGGGGGATTACAAACAAAAGTGAGAGAAACATATCCAACTGCACTTTTTGTACATTGCATGGCGCATCGGTTAAATTTGGTTTTACAGCAGTCGCTCAACATTATAAAAGAATGTAAGATTTTTTTCTCAACCCTAAGCGGACTTGCAGCCTTTTTCTCAAAATCTTCAAAACGAACTAGTGCTTTAGATGAAGAAGTTCATAAGAGACTCCCAAAAGTAGCACCTACTCGATGGAACTATAATGGCAGACTAGTACAAACTGTATCTGAATATCGTCAACCACTCATCGACTTTTTCAAAAACATATTGGATAACCAGGAAAAATGGGACAACGAGACTAGAGTATGCTCTAGAGGATATTTAAATATGTTAGAAACAGAAATTAACTTCAATCTTTTATTAATTATTTTCTCGGAGATATTTCCATTTTGTGACAGTTTATTTGCAGTATTACAAAACAAAACAAGTGACGTAAATTTCTGTATAAAAAAAATTAAAGAATTTAAATCTATTGTTTTGTCTAAAAGAGAACAATTTGACAGCCTGTGGACTAAATTTGGACAGTTAGAATTTGATATTGAGCCGCAAAGGAAAAGAATTTGTTCTGATGTTCTTGTAGAACATAGAACAGACCAAAAAGCGAGATGCCGAAAACTATTTTTCGAAATCATTGATAACATCTCAGCCCATATTGATTCCAGATTTCAAAATTTCAATAGTCTGAAATTTCTTGAGTTAACTAACTTCCTTGATAATAGAACGGTTTCTGAAGAAGCTTTCGAAGCATTGAAACATAATTATCCAGATTGTTTTGAATTTCCTGCACTTCGTTCTGAACTTTCAGTTATATACAATACCTCAGAAGGATTGAATAAAAATAGTGCTAGTGAACTTTGGAAATCTCTTAAAGAATGTGGATTGTATCGGGCTTTTCCCGAAGTACTTAAGCTATGTGAACTTGCAGTGACTATCCCTGCCACAAGTGCTTCTACAGAACGTAGTTTTTCCGCGCTAAAACGAATTAAAAGTTTTGTCAGAAATTCCACCGGACAAGAGAGACTTTCTGCTTTGGGATTAATCTCAATAGAAAAAGAATTAGTGCAAAAATATGCGAGCGAAACCAATTTTTATGACGAAGTGATTGATGTGTTTGCAAATAAAGACAGAAGAATAATCCTCAAATTTAAGTGAAGGTAAACTTTTTTTTTACTTTAAAAAAGTAGGTACACAATGTATTAGGCACCTAACACATCTTTTATATAACAACATGGAAATTTTCAAAAAAAAAGAATAAATGTCCCATTATTTTTTTCGCGCATTTTCACCGTCTTTCCCCACAGCTTCCCCCTCTGTTGAAGTCTGGACACGCCACTGTTGTTGAGTAATATTGAGTGAGTCATAAAAAGGTGGACAAGGAAATATATAAACAGGTGCGACAGTTTTGTGCAGTATGAATGAAAGTCTTGATTTTAGATAGGCCTATTTTATCAATTAAATTCCTAAAGAAATAACAATGTAAATACCTACGTCCAAGAAAATTGTACAAAATAGGGTCACAAAATCGACAGGTATTTTTAATAAGTTTGAGTTGAGTTTTTGAAATTTTCCAAATTTTAAAATTACAGAAAAATTAACACTACCACAACCCAATAATACCCATGATGGTCCTCAAGCACGGCTACCTTTCATGGTCGACGCCCAATACGTCAACGGTCACTACCGCTGGCTTACCTGTATTTTATTGTTGTTATTCAACTTTACACCTTTCTGAATGAAAAGGGTCGTTTTTTCCAAAAACACTATTGAATACACTCGCGTTTCCCGCCGATTCACACACAACCGACTTCCTTATCAATCGAATTTGACGGTTATCAACCAAAACATTGCGTTATTCTACCTTTGCCGTGAATTCATTCGCTTCGCGGCGGCATCCACATCAAATCGGTATCGGAAGGTTAGGTAAAGTCGCAGCGCACCTTCCCAATCAACGGTTGATTTTGAACTGAAGAAAATAAAAAAACTGCTCGACTTGGCAACTGCGTATATAGTCTAAGTTGCCAAGTGAATTTTGGTCGGACTTTCGGATTTTACGATTCGGATACAAAAATTGCCGCTACAGGTTTCTGTATTATTTGGTGATTGGTATTATAGTGACTACAGTGACTCTATTACCACAGTGGCAACAATTGCTGTTTCATTTTTGATTGGTTCTTTAAAATCCTATTTATATTCATATGGAAAACGCCACCATTTTGTGCCCTACCTCTTGCTAATTTTAAATATGGATATTATAGGATTTAAATGGATATCCATCATAAAAAAGTGAAAACAACGTACAACGGTATAACGTATTAATTTGATGACTATTTATAGTATTTATTAGGTACATCAAATAGGGCAATCCAACGACCTGCCAAAATGAAATTCAAAATGGAGGCCAATGCCTTTTTATTTAAAAAAAATCCGTTTTATTGCGATTTTTGATTTATATAAAGTCTGTAAAGTGTGGATTTTTTGGAAAATGCATACGTTATGTATTGTACTTAGTTGTGCGAGCCATTCTAATCGCGAGAAAGTCTAGTTTCATGTCGTTCCTGCAGAGAGAAAATACAGGTTTTTAACGGAGAAAAATGAATTGTCTGTACTTTGTGAGGGCTTCATGGATTGTAGCAAAAGAGAAAAAATCTTACGAAATCCATATTAAAAAACCAGAAAGTCTCTCTACATAAATGGTATATGGATCCTGGCCATTTACAATCCTCCATTTCAGCTTGTGTTGATAACTTGAATAGCAGACATATAAAATAAACATCAGGAATCAGGATTCAGGATTTGGTTAAGAAAAAAATAAACAGGAAGCAAATCCTGGATAGTACCTAGCTAATTGTTTAGTAGGTGAAGGTTTGTCACAAAGAAATCATAACTTTTGCAAACATCCGGGTTTTCCACTAATAATTTCTTAAACTAACAAATCGCCATTTTGTTTGGATTGCCCTATACCTATCTTGTTTTCAATTTTTTATGATGGTTGTCGATTTAAATCCTATATATTCATTATATAAAATAAAAGTGGCAAGAGGTAGGGCACAAAATGGCGGCGGGACCTCTATTGTGACATTGTCGCCAATGAACTATAACCAAAAACTGGAATGCGAACACATATTGACGAACGTGAAGCCTAGTGTCGCTGCTGCGGAGGGGATGAGGGATGTGCGTCTACACGTAGACTTTCATTGTCTACTTGTACAATGTAGACAACGTGTCAACAATGTAAAATAATATAAATGACGTTTAATCTAACCTCACACTTTCCTTTTTTTAAATTATTTCTATTTTATTATTGGTTTTTCGGATATTTTATAATCAGTGAATGCTAATATCGAAGTAATAGTGATAGTATAGTAACTTTTGATTTTTTTTTTCGAATTTTTTTAAATAAGTTATTGTTTACGCCGCATGTAGACAATGTGTAGACAAATGCTCACGTAAACAATTCGAATTGTCTACGCGTAGACAATCAATTGTTTACGTTGACATTGTCTACACTACAGGCACAGGCACATCACTGGAGGGGATACCTGTTTTTGTCGCACTCATTATGTTAATTGGCGGAAATTGCTTCCAATACGTATTCCAATTAGGGTTGCCACCTGTCCGGTTTTCACCCGGACTGTCCGGGTTTTCAAAGGTTTGTCCGGTGTCCGGACGCATGATGAAAATGTCCGGGAATATCTGGATAACTATATAATTAATAATAATTAATACTTAATATAAAATTTATAAAGGCGATTGCCGAACGCCTTAGGATATACCTAACTAATTTCTGAACGTTCCTACTTCTTGAATAACGGGTGTATCACAAACGTCTCCGGTTTCCAGTTAGCGACAGAAAAATGGACTTTTTCTGCCTAGGCAGAAATGTTCGTTGCTTCCCATTCAACAAACGTTATCAGCGCAATTGATAAACATAAAAAAGTAGATTATGCGTGAAAGTGTAACAAACTCGGAGAAAAAATGTAATGTACTACCTATATGTTTCACACGGCAAAAGATCAGATTTAATGCCTTGGTTGGTTTCTAGTCGCGGCATTAAATATCGTGCTTTTCTGCCTAATAAAATAAATAATTATGTATGTATTGTGTCGTTCTCTCTGTTCACTTACAAGTGTCTCTGGTTTTTTTTTTTTTAAATTTCAAAATAGACCGTAACTACGAGGGGTGGCGTTTGAAATTGAGAAGATACCTTTTTTAATTTTTTTCTAAAAATTCATTCTACAGATATGAATGTAAATTATGCTCCAAAAAAAAGTTAGCTTCGATTATGTACGGGTTTTCGGAAATCAAAAGGTGGCAACCCTAATTTCAATTGATGAAACCTGTGAAGGTAAATATGACAAAACTTTCCAAAACGTCATATGTCAGCGAGCAACAGAAAAAAACAACATTCCCCTTTGTGGCATCTATCTTTCATGGCTACATTTTTTTGGCAGATATGGCAATGTGTGCGCATTCCAGTTTTTGACTATAGTTCATTGATTGTCGCACTGTATGTAAAGGTTTATTTAGTCACTGTAATAGTGACTATAGCGGCTAAGGGCCGCTTTTACAAGTAGAGCTTAAACTCCAATCTTAAGTTTAAACTACAGTTTTATAAAATTGACACTTTTACAACTTGGGTTAATCGTCAATCCTAAGTTTAAACTTTACCGTTGGTTGGGGGTTGGTTTAAACTACATTCCTAAGATCATAACCCTATTTTTGGGAAACAAATCAATGAATAAAGAGAGAATCCTTGTTGATTTTGACCAACACCTTTAATAAAGTAATTTCTTATTCCGAGAAATTTTGATTTCTTTTTTGTAACAAATCCATTTATTCAGATCAACACAATATCCACTCAATGTAACAACTACAACTAACAACTTTTAAATTTTAAAATTGATGATTGATTAAAACATAGGTCAGGGACAATTTCCTCTTCTTTATAATGTGGCATTAGCAAATATTCCAATTTTCTCGAACTTTACTGACAGACGTAAAATATGGTATTTTATTTTAAACATTGGGTTTAAACTTTTGGTTAAACCGCAGTTCAATCTGAAGTTTAAACTCTACTTGTAAAAGCGACCCTAAATAAATCTTTACATACAGTGGCGACTACAGTGACTAAATAAACCTTTAAATACAGTGGCGACAATAGAGGTCCCGCCGCCATTTTGTGCCCTACCTCTTGCTACTTTTAAATATGAATATATAGGATTTAAATGGACATCCATCATAAAAAATTGAAAACAACGTATTTGATGTGCCTTATTATAGTCAAAGATTTAGTCATCATCGGATACGTTGTTTTCAATTTTTTACCCTAATAACACCGATCTCCCAGAAACATCCTATTTATGTACCATTAAGGTCCTTATGTTTCCGACATAAATGGTACATCGCTGCGATGTTTGTAATGTAACATCTCTAGGATGATTGTCCTGAAATGTTTTAGAAACATCCTTTCGAAAATATCCATCGACAAAAAGATTTTTTGTTCTCAAAATTAGATACTTATTACAGCTAAAAAATGGCTAACATTATTTTACAAAACTTGGTAGGACCTCAGATCGGTAGGACCCAGTATTAAATTTGCCAATTTTGTGTGATTTCTGAAAATGTCTCTATCACACACACAAACTAATTTCAAATTCCATAATATACCTGTAATGTATATAGATAATAAGGAACTTAATATTAATTTTGTATTGTAACAACAGCAAAATTTAATATTTCATTCGACTTACAACTTGGAATAAAATAAAATATGTATTGATAAAAGTCTTCTCTCTTTTCAACTTTCAAACATCGTGAATATTCGTGAAGCCGAAGTGTATGGCGCAGGCGCGTGCTCAGGCATTTGTACTTGTACCGGTCAGGACAGGAGGGCACACCACCACGTCGGGTCGGCGCCGCAGCCAGCGCAGACGGGCAGAATCAGTCGAACGGGTCGTCCTGTGCGCTACGCTTGTGTTGTTGGGCGGAATTTTATTTCGTAATGGCGTCGTGCTGTGTGGAGGATTTGTCAATTTGTGGTTTTTCGCTACACCTAGTTGTGCCATTTTGTGTTCGAAAGGATCTCTGCGACCTACCAGCGCTTATTAGTTGGTGAGAAAGATTATTTGTTGAAAGATAACGTCGCATAACTATCAATTGTTTAGTTTATTTAATTTCAATATGGCGTCGGTTAGGAAATTTCTAACTTTTCTGATAAATAGCCCCTAAAAACCCGAACTTCATTCTTCATTAGGTAAGAGAAAATAACCAATAATTTTTTTTTGTTTTCATAGTTGATTACATTCTAGGTGTGCAAGTTGAATTGTACTTCAAGAACTTTGGATTTTGGTTCTGTGGTTGTTTTGCTTAGTTAATGGTACCTTTATGAAATTGGAGCACCAAAAAAAAAAAAGAAAACGCCGAACTCCCCCACTACAACATGCTGCCACTGCCAAACTATGGTTTTCGATGACATGACGGGGCATAAATACTACATTATTTAGGCAAAATTGTCCGTCGATTATTATTAGTTGATAGATAATCAATATAAGTATGCACGTACCTTATTTTTTCAATAAAAAATGTTATTGGAAACTGATGTGCCTACTTAATTTTATAATTTTCAATTTTTGTTTTTTTTTTTGGAAAAAGTTCTGACTTCCAGAAAATAGAACGAAAATTGAAAATTATTGAATTAGGTAATTTTTAATCCATAATCCTAAAATTCATTCACCTATTAAAGTCATACTAGAAACATATAGAGGATGTTTCTTACACCTGCCCCGGATGTATTAGGTACATCCCGCGTCATCTTAGAAACATCCCTGAGAGATGTTTATAGGACATCGCAAATGATGACACGGCTGTTGCCTGCAACATCCCAGGGATGTCCCCAGGAAAATAGGAACCTCCCAGGGACGTCTTCATTATCCCTGATGGATGTTTCTGGAATGTTTCTGCG